GGTACCAGGAAGGGGAAGGAATCTGGTCCATCAAAGGACTCAGAAAGGGGAGGTGAGTTCATCTATAAGCTCACCCTTCCCAGAAACATCTCCTGCCTTGGTTTCCACAAATGGTAGTTATCATCTGTTGATGAAGCAACTGCTTTTAGGAAGGGAGGTTGTGATGACCATAGAAGTCTCAAAGGGGATGAGGAAGTTCAAGTTACCAGTAACTGAAAGAGGACATATCTCTGTATCAGCATTTCCTGGTCCATGGGCATCTGGTCAGTGAGGCTGATGATGGCACAGACCAGGGGGGGCATTCTCCCTGGGTTGTTGTTAAGAGGGAGTGACAAAGGAGTGGGTGAGTGAAAGCTCCCCTTCCAGAGTGTGCAGGGCAGTCTGCGATGCGGTGCAGTTGGTAAGGGAGAAGGCGCTCAGGCACGGGACTTCCCCAGCAAATTCCTGCAGAAGGGAAAAAGCCCTGACCAGTGGGAATGCAATTAAAAAGAAAAAAACGGAACATATTAAATATACAAGAAAGAGAAACATTGAACTAAGAAGCATGAGTTGGCATTCAAAGAGATCTTTAGCTCTAAAAACTGAAAGTTTTCAGACAGGAGGTAGAAAGCTCCCTTCAGCCCATCCAGGTAACCCATGCTACTCCCAGACATTTGCCCCAGTGGTGGCTGCTGCGGGTGGCTTGTTCAGCTTCTGCTCCACCTCCCCCAGGGGAGCCTTCCTGAACATCGGGCGGGAAAGCTGAACACTAGGCTATGGCATGGAGGGTTCCAGATGCAGTTTAGATATTGCTGGTCGCAGGTGCTGCCTAAGACCTAACCTGAATGGAGTTAAGGCAGGCAGAGGCATTTGTGTGGGAGGCAGTCTTTTTTCTGGGCCAGGGCCAATATAACACACACAGGCAATAATTTTTGATGGCAGCTTTCTGACCCTGAGATCGCAGCTGAGGGGTAGTCCGGGAGCAGACAGTCGCAATGACTCCACCTTCCTGATGGTGGCAGAGGCAGTAGCTTCCCCGGCAGCTTAGTTCTGCAGTGATTTTGGGGTTTCATTCTTGGAGGTTCAGAGTGATTCCCACTCCTTCAGCCCTTCCAGTGACTTTGTGAGTCCCCAATTATCTGGATTGAATCCCTTTCTGCTTCAGATAGGTTCAGTGGGGCCTACTATCTGCAACTGAACCCTGATGACAAAGTGCCTGACATAGAGCAGGTGTCATTAAATGCTCGTTGAATGAATGGGTGGGCACTGCAGATTGCCGAGATGTCTGCAGTGACTTGGGCAGTCAGAACAGTTGGGTTCACCCTGGCTGGTGTGGCTCAGTCTGCTGGGTGTCATCCCACAAAGTGAAAGGTCACCAGTTCGATTCCTGGTCAGGGCATATACCTGGGTTTCGGGGTTTGGTCCCTGGTCGAGGCGTGTAAGAGAAGCAACTGATTGATGTTTCTCTTCTTCCCTTCTCCACTATCTAAAAATAAATAAATAAACTCTTTTTTAAAAAGGATGTAATTTCAGAATAAAGAATCATTCTTTAAATTAAATACATTTACCTTTGGCCCAAAACCCCCACATTACCCTTATTTTTTCCTTTTGCTGTAGACCGGTGAGAGTACTGTCATGAAAGGCAAGAGAGAGACGCAGGAGAGGAAAAGAGACACTGCAGTGTTGGCGCAGGGAAGGCGAGTAGACAGGGAGTGAGGACAGGAGGAGGCAGAGGTCTTCCAGTGAGGGGCTCCCTGCCCTGACCGCCCCAATTCTCCTCGTACAAGACTAGCGTGGCCAGATCGGGGCCAAACCAACAGGCAGAGCTGCGGCCACACTCAGAGGTCAGGTGGCTCAGTGACCACTGCACTGGCCCTAGAGACCCTGGTGATCTGACTCCCACCCCCTCTCAGTGCAGTGTCCTGGGCTCGTGCTCATGTCCAGCGCACTTGGGAGACAGGCTGCTGGTAAAGGAGAAAGAGCACAGGACTCGGAGTCAGGAGCCCAAGGTTTATGCCTGGCTCCTCCGAGTCACTTGGGGAAGGTCCGTCCTTCTCTGGGCCTCAGTTTCCTCATCTTACAATGAAGATTCTGAACCAGTCTTGAGGACAACTGCAGCTGTCTGTCAAAAATAATTTTTTAAAGCCACACACAAAGTAGTTTGCATAGAATTTTAAGGACTCCACCACCCTATCAGGGCCTTCAATAAACTTTCCAGAAGTCCCCGGACCCCAGATCAAGGACCCCAACCTGACAATTGGAACATAGCTGCTGGCCTTTGCCTCCAAATCTTCCCCTTTACTGAGCGTCGATAATACTTTCCAATCACCTAACACTCGCAGTGGCAGGGCCAACTAGCTCAGGGAAGGTGTAAGCCTGTACATAGGATCGTTAGCCCCCAGGGCTCCTCACAGGTTCACAGCAGAGTTGCAAGACACAATGAACTTCATGGATGACTAACGAGCTGACCAAAGCAGCAGGCCCCTGGTCTGGAGTGAGTTTCAGATTGTGACCACGGCAGAGAGAGGACACGGGGCTGACAGGAGGCCCTTTATGGGGGACAAGGCCTTCTGGCCACCCAAGGCAGTGCGGGGGAGTGGGAAGAAAGTACGCTCAGAAGCTAGAATGCCCTGGGGTTTATATTTGGTGCTGTGACACAGTTGTGCCATTTGGGCATGTTATTCTACCTTGACCCTTTGGGTTCTTCATCTATTACATGGAGATATGAGTGATGAAGCAGAAATGATAGGATATACTGAATATTCCCAGAGTCCCTTTATGTCCCAGCCTCCCTTGCAGAAGGGTGAGGTCGTGTGACTGGTTTCTGCTGACGGTCTGTGAGTGGCAGGGCCCTGTGCCACACCTGGCTGAGGCATTTAAGTGACTGGGTACTTCCTCCATCTCTCTCTTCTATCTTCCACAGTGACCCCCGAGACCAGTGTTCCAGGTGGTGTGGCTACAAGGTGGACGACAGGTCTCTTGTCCCACATGAGGCTCTACATGAGTGGCAAATGAAGCATTTTGTACCAAGCCACTGAAACTTCAGGAGTTCTCGGTTGTGACAGCTACTGTTAATTACCTTGACTAACACAGGGATGGCTAATCAAGATAGTGGACACAAATCTTTCTGAGACCTTGCTGGTGTGGCTCAGTGGTTGGAGTGTTGTCCCAAAGCTGAAGGGTTGTGGGTTCATCCCTGGTCCGGGCAGGGGCGCGTGCAGCCCCTGGTCTGGACCCTTATAACCCCTGGTGCGGGCGGCACAGATCCCGCATCTGATGCAAACAGAGGCAACTGATGGGCGCTTCACTCACATGACTTTCTCTATCTCCCTTCCTCTCTCTCTCTAAAAAAAAAAAAAAAAGAAAATGTCCTCAGGTGAGGATAAAAAAACAACAGCAAGAAGAAGAAGAACAACAAAACCAACAAAACAGATAAAAAACAACCTTAGTACAATGGGGGCTGCTTTCTTGGAGAAAAGACCTAAGCCCCCATATTAGTCCACTCAGCTGCCATAGCCAAACACCAGAGACCAGGTGGCTTAAATGTCAGAAACTTATTTCTCACAGTTTGGAGAAGTCCAAGATCAGGGTGTCAGCAGGGCTGAATTTTGGTGAGAGCTCTTTCGGGCTTGCAGACGGCAGCCTTCTCCCCGTGTCCTCACAGGGCAGGGAGAGAGAGAGAGAGAGACAACGCCTCCCAAAGGCCCGTCTCCAAGTGCCATCACACGTAGATTTGCAGGGACACGACTCACTCCATAGCACCCTCAACCACACATGGCCCTCAGACCTTTTCTTAAGAGCACGTTTTTAAATTCGGAAGCAGGCAAGGGTGGGTGAGGTGGGCGTTTCATCCAGGGAAGCCCTGAGGAAGGCCTGCCTCCCCTTCTTCCACCGATTGCTGCAGGCGCTCTCCCTTCAACCTCCTCTTCCTTCCATCCTCCCGCCTCCCCTCCATCTTGACCCCACACTTTGATAGGGGACTCAAGACTTGGAAAATTTTAACTTAAGGTAAAAATTTGTAAGTCTAGCCAGTAATGTGTATGTTAAAGCTTTTGTTTCAGAAACTATAGATAAGGCCCATCCTGGCTCCTGGGAAAACAGCCGGCTTCCTGGGGGCTCACAGAAGATTATTGCGTGGGGACATCCGGACCTTTTCTGTTCCTGGGAGAGCAGACGACCACCCTCCCCTGGAAACAGCGAACTGCCCAGAACAGGAATGCTGAAGCTTCGCTCATCTAATCCTCCCTGAATTTCAAAGCCCTCACCTGCTCCTTGTTTATCCACTCATCCCCACCTTATAAAAATTCTGGCCAGGAAAGAGAAGGAAGATGGTTTGTTAGGGTATGAACCTACCATCTTCTCAGCTCACCAGCCACCTGACTAAAGCATCCATAAAGATTCAATCACTATCATTGTGTATTGGATTTGGTAGTGACAGGGAGCCCGAATGCTGGTGTCTTTTCCAGTTACAACTTCACAGCTAAATCCCTGGACTAGCAATCCACTTACCCGGGCTGGAAGAGGCATCTTGTCTCACCTCCTAATTCCTACAGATGACAAGACTGGCCCTGGATAGGGCATGAGAAGCAGCGGAGGTGAGGCTGGTTTCTCCGAAGGGTGGAGGGTAGGGGCAATCTGGTGCAGTCCCCAGACGGAGAGTCGGAATAACAAGAAGGAAGCTCTTTTCATTTCAGTATGTAAATTTTGCATAATTTTTTCAAAATAAAATTTTATTTTACAGTTTTATGTTCTTATTTGGAAGAATTGTATAATATGTGTTGAGTCCTCTGGGGTCCATTAAATCTATAAAATCCGACCTGTCCAAGGCTTGAATCAAGATCTCAGGGGGGCGCCTTATTCCATCCCTTCCCTGAGCGCCAGAAAGGGCTTCCGCCCAGTTTTTCCCTCCCTGTTGGACAACCTGTGACCATTAGCTGCCTCAGTCCCCACCTCCAGCCGGGGGCGCCGGGTCACAAGCCAGGAAAGGAGGTTTATCCCGAGCCCGGTGCGCCCCACCGGATCTCTGCAGCCCAAGGCCATGGCCACAGCCTTCGCACTCTTTGCCAGCGTCCTGCTCCCCTGCTGCGGGGCCTTCCCGCAGTTTAAAAGGGGGCTGCTGAAGGTGAGTCAAAGAACATTTCAAACCTTCCGCTGTATGGAGGGCGGTAGCCGAGGCATCGCAGTCTAGCCAGGAGGCACCCATTGGGTCTGGAGAGAGAAGTGGCGGTGGGGTGGGAACCACCCCAGATTGGGGATTTGTTTCCAGGCTGGAAGCCTAATGTTTCCCGACAGACGTCAAAGCCCTGCTTCGCCTCCCTGGTGGCTCCGCAGGTAAAAGAACGTGGCCCTATGACCAGCACTATTTCCCCCCTCCCCCACCTAGCGCCCGCCCACTTGAGACTGTCTCAGCCCTGCGCCCCCCATCACACCTCTTCTACCTGTCCTAGTTTCTCCCCCTCTCCCCCCACTTCTAGGCACAATGATTCTTTCTTCTCCATCCAACTTTTTTCTCTCACTCCCACCTCCATCCCGCCAGACTTTCTGCCCACACTCCTATTAAAAGTGAGATCTGGGAGTGTTTGCTCCCCTAGCACAGGCCACCCTTTGGGACCCACAGAAATGAGGGCCCCTGGGAAAGGAGAAGCAGAAGGAAAACGCTAAATCTCCGCTCTCCCCCGCTCCTCTGAGTGTTGCTGGGGGGGGGGGGGAGGAGCCCATGCAGTGGGGGTGGGACTTGGGGCTGGCCACCTCAGGCTGTTCTTCTTGGCCTCCTGGGACCTTGGCAATGCCACGATCCTCCCCCCACCCTCCCACACCGCCAGAGAGCGGGTGACTCGAAGGCTGTTCCCACAGATGAACGGGGCTCGGTGCTCCCACCACTCTGAGTGCTACAGTGGCTGCTGCCTCATGAACTTGGACTACGGTGGCTCCTTCTGTGCCCCCAAAGCCAGAAGGGCCATGGTGTGCTTGCCTCAGGTGAGGCTCTGGGGTAGGGCAACCCCTTCTGGCAAGTGGGGTGGGAAAAGTTAAAAAAAAAACTCATATGGCTGCACCTGCTTTTCCACCCTCTGCTTGGGGTGCCCTTTCCGCTTCTCCACCTGGCAAACTCCTACTCATCCTGCAGTGCCAGGAGATCCCTCTGATAAGCCTTTTCTCCTTGGACTTCCCACACCCTTGGCCCCTACCCTCAGCAGAGCATGGGTCTCCCTGATTGGCCATGCCTTCTGTCTGTGTCCGCCACAGCTTGGAGCTCTTCATGGGCAGGGTTGCAGCACATTCATCTTTGAACCTCCTACCCCTCAGCTTAGTGCCTGCACATAGCAGGTGCTCAACAAATGTTTATTGAATGAATGAATGAATATCTCTACCCTAACAGTACTGAGCCAAAGTAGCTGGGAAAAGACCTCCACAGCAATTCCCCTTCCCTACCGCAAGGACCTCACTTCTAGAGAGGAGCAAGGCAGTGGGGTGGCAGGACCACAGCTGTGGACTTGGACCTGAGTGTAAATGCTGGCTTTTCCACCCCCTGTCTGTGTGACCTTAGGCTGGTCACTTCTGTTCTCTGGGCCTTAGTCTCCTCATCTGGAAAATGGGGCCCAAGTGCCAAGTGCCTGTCCCCAGGTTGTTGGGAGGAATGTGTCATCCTGGCAACAATGGTGCGCTCAGCCAAGCGTGCTTTTATTGGCTGGCAGAAATGCAGGGAGCAGAATATTCCTGCTCGGTCCTCTGTCATCTGAACCTGGGCCCACACCTTTGCAGGGATGACACGCTTGGCCCCCACATCCCATCTGGGGAGCTGCCAGTGACCTTAGGAGCCAGCCAGTCCCCGTCCTGGCCTGACTCTCCAGAAAAGTGGCAGGAGAGTCTTTTCATTATGGGCACTTGATCTAATTTATTTCATTTAACCTCATAATAACCCTAGGAGGTGGGTTCCTGTTATTTCCCCCATTTGACAGACGAGGAAACTGAGACAGAGAGGCTCATCAAGTTGCCTGGGGTCATGAAGTTGTAAGCTGTAGGGCTGACAGAGCCTGGGTTTGCCTCACCATCGCTTGTGCTCTAGCTCCTGCTCCCCTAGAAGGTTAAACCCCCTTCTTCCCTGCACCTTGGTGACCCCTGACTCTCATGCTCACTTCCCACAGACCAAGGGAGCCACCAACATCATATGTCCCTGCCAGCTGGGCTTGGCTTGCGTATCCAAGGACCTGAACTGTCCCCGCCGGTGCCATTTGATTTAGAGGAGGATGCAGGCTTTTTGCAGCCATCCTCCCTCCCTCCCCTGGGGCCGGGGCCTTGGGAGTCCCCACCTTGTTCAAAATCCAGCTCCTGAAACATTAAAGTCATTCTCTGGCTCTGGCCTCTGTCTGCATTTCCTGAGAAAAGGAACCTGGTACAGACTGTTTCATTGGTGTGGGTGGGATGGAGGGGCAATGGTGGGTGAATGGGGAGACTGGAAGTGTGAAAGAGCTTCCCATGGGGTTTGGCCTTGTCTGCAGGCACAGCGGCCTCAGGCCAGTACTGCAGAAAGGGAATGGGGTAGGGGTGTGGGTGAGAGGAGGCTGAGTCCAGGAAGGGCCAAGTCTTGGGATGAAGGGCTGTGCGGGAGGGGCAGGGTCGAGTAACGTGCCCGGGGAGTACATGTTGAGGTGCCCATGGATGCGTGTGAGGTAGGAGGGACTGAGTGGGAGTATGTGGATATTTTGCTAGGGGGCAAAGGGTGGAGCTCATAGGGAAAGCTTTATGAGAATGTGTGTGAAGTGTAAGTGCAGAAATGAAATACAAGTACCTGTGGTCAGAAAGGGCCTGGTGCATTGACATCTCCGCTCCCTCGGACATTTCATTTTATGGATTAAGAAGCTGAGGCTCAGAGAGCTACACGTGCAAGGCCGCATCACGGGGGTATCAGTGAGGACTCTTTCTGGTGCAAGTATATAAAAAAAAAAAGGCAAGGGTACTTGACTCGCAATTCCAACAAACCAGCAGCAGCATTTGCTGCAGCTCCGTCTTCAGCTTCACGATGTTTCCACTGGCCAAAAAACACGCTAGTCATCTCCCAGTTTGAAGCATTCAGCAAATAATGGCAAGGCGGGCCCACCGGAAATGGACAGCTCATTTCCTTGACAAATGTGGTAGCGCTATACAGGCTAGCCGAGCCCTTTCAGTGTTGCTGCACGGACTCACACAGCAGCGCCCGCTGGGATGGAATGGGGCCGGGCGCTGCTGGCAGAGCACACAGGAATGGAGAGATCAGTGATCGCTGGTGTCATCATGAATTGTCTTAAAACTAACTCGTAATTGATGCCAAGTGAAAGCATAGTGTACCCATTAAAATATGGCATGATTGAAGAAATAAAGTCCATTTGAAACCTTAAAAAAAATCATATTGGTCCAAATGATGAGGAAATTCATTGGTGGTGAGAACTAGACATCCAGAGGCAGGGCAGGCCTTGTAACTAAATGCAGGCCTGGCTGCCTGTTGCTGCAAAAGCCAATGCTTGAGAGGCAGGTGCTGATGTAAAGTGGTTTATTTTCAGGTTCTGGTGACCTGGAAGATGGGAGACTCACGTCTCAAAGCCCATCTCCCCTCTCAGTGCAGGCAGAGATTTTTATAAGGAGGTAGAGTGGAACAGAACAAAGAGATCAAGGGAGGGGCTTGCAAAGTTCTCTACATGCAGATGAGCACAGTCCGTTCTGATAAATAAGGCAAGTGATGGCCCGGTGCATCATCCTGGTTTAGTCATCCCGGTTCCATGGTTGAAGGCCAGCAAATCTCCTGGAGCTGGGGTGCCTGGAAGTCAGAGTTTATAACTTTTGATGTTAGTTCCTAGGATTCTTACACAAACAATCTACATATTAGTCAGAGTCAGCACTTAGAGAAACAATGTCCAAAGAATGGTGAGATGGGTTACAACTTCCCACTATTACAATTTTCCACTGTTACAGCCTCAGGTCTGGCTGACTCCAGCAGTTTCCTGGCCCTCAGGCTGGATTCCTTCCCAATAACCACTAAGTTCCAGATGTCAGCTAATAAAACAGCTAGGGTTTACTGAAAACCTAATATGCCCCAGACATAGTGCAAAGCGCTTTCTAATCGATATTAACTCATTGTTACAACAAGGTGAAAGTAGGCACTATAATTATCCTTATTTTACAAATGGGGCATTAAGGCTCAATAACCCTTCTCAAGGCTCACAGTAATGTCTGGGACTGGGATTTGGACCCAGGCTGTCTCGCTCTGGAGGGCAGGCATTTAACCAGAGGTCTGCCGCACATGTGCGTATCGTGCCTTCCAGAGAAAAGAAACATCCCTGTCCCAGGAGTCTTAGCAAGCATCCTAAGATTGATTGTGGTTGAAATGACTAAGTCTGCAAACTCACCCCTGAATCAGTCATTGTGATGGAATTTACTGATTGGCTTAGCCTGGGTCTTGCGTAGGGGTAGAGTCAGCACCTCGAGATAAAAGTAGAAGGGCTTTGGGGCCCTAAAGAGGCTCATCCGAGGGCAGAGGGGATGAGTGTCTCCAGACACACTAGTGAGGAAGCTCTGCCTTGGGACATTCTTCTCCTCACATAGTTGAAGATGGCTCATCTCACCGTATCTGCTGGTCCCACATTCCAGTCAGAAAGAAGGGAAGGAAAGATAGCAAATGCTCAGCCTTCCTCAAAAGGCACAACCAAGAGCAGCTGAATTATTTTCTCCTGGGAAAAACTTGGTCACATGACTTCAGATAGCTGCAAGGGAGACTGGAAAACATAGTTTTCATCTGGGTATTTGTGTGCCCGGCTAAAACTTGGGGCCCTGTTATTAAAGAACAAAGGGAGAATCTGTAGTGGGAACAACTTGTGGCCACAAAAGCCCCAAGCCTTTTATTATTATTTTGATAAAGCAAGAGAAGCTTGGATGGCATGACCTAGAGCTAATGGCGTACTGTCAAGCACCTCCCTTTAAAAAAAATCCTCACCTAAGAATATGTTCATTGGTCTTAGAGAGAAAGGAACATCGATGTGAGAGAGAAACATCCATCAGTTGCCTGCTGCATACTTCCTGACCGGGGTTAGAACCTGCAACCTAGCCTGCAACCTTTGGGTGTATGGGAGAACGCTCTAGCAACCAAGGCACCCGGCCAGGGCAGGCAGCTCTCCCTTGAGCTGCACTTCTCCTGGGCTGTGCACTCTGGCTTAACCACAACATTGGGAGTTGTGGATGGAGGGGAGCATATCACAGCAACTTCCCAGCCAGCTTTGTGGTAAAGCCCAGTTGAGTCTTCGTTGGAAACGTGGTGGAATTGCTGACAGTCCCAGGAGAGCAGCTAACCACATCCACATCCACAGTCAAGTCGAGGCTTTATTTTCTGCAGGAGGTGAACATGGCAAAAGACTAAAGATTTAAAAAGAAAAAGAGAAATTTAAGATTTCTTTCATAGAGTGATATGTCTCCCCACCCCAAATATTGACATGGTGCCACTCTTAGGCTTAATGATGACCTTGTGGTGGGCGTGACTCCTCCCCTCCAAGCCCCTGGACTAGTGAAGCACCCAAAATCCAGACTTGAGACGTGGGAGGGGACAGAGTAGGGAAAAGACAGAAGCACACGGACTCCTCCCAGCCTGGCGGGTCTGGAAGCAGGTGTGACGATCATTTGCCTGCTCGTCCTTCTCCTGCTCTGCTCTTTATCCCTGGGAACACATTTCCTAGTCTCCTTCCTCTTCTGGTTTCTAGGACTGGCTGAAGATAGAAGGGGAGAAGATGGGCTACCTTCTTTTTTTTTTTTTAATTCTTACCCAAGGACTTGCTCAATTGATTTCAGAGAGAGGGGAGGGGAAGCAGAGAACCATCGATGTAAGAGAGAAACATTGATCGGTTGTCTCTCACACAAGCTCTGACTGGGGACCAAGCCCAAAACCTAGGCATGTGCCCTGACCATTTACAGGATGATGCTCTGACCAACTGAGTCACACTGGCCAGGGCGTGGGTCTCCTGCTTTAGGTGATGTCACCAACTTTCCCCTGGTCTCCTTTTAGATAGCCCCTCCCCTGCAGCCCCAGGGGCCCCAGTCATACAGCCTCATCACACCATTTCTCTGGTGACAGAGCCATTCGTGTCTTCCTGCTACTGCCATCTCTCCGCTGCCTTGATGTCCTGTTTGGTTTCCCAGCTCCTCCATCACCTCTGTGACCACTTCCGTATATCGTGATTCTCCCTGTTTCAAGTACCTAGAGTAGTTTCTGTCTTCCTGACTGGACAATGACTGGTAGAGAAGGAAACCTTCTGAGTGGAAGCAAAGCTGATTCTGGAACACTAGACCCTCCTTAAATGGGCAGAATTTACTTGAAACAATTGTTTTGGAAAGAGAGCTGAGAATGATAGGGACTTATGAAAAGTCTTATAAATACTTTTACTTTGAAAATCTTTAAAGCCAATGAAGACTAAATACACTAAATAAAAGGTGTGCCAATGACACTTTGCATTGCATTAAACTAGACAATGTGTGCGGTCCCCTATAAATTCCCATTTGCCATGTCTAAGGAACATTTACTGATTTTGCCTGCCAAAGACTCCTGTTCTCTTGGTAACCCGCAATTTCCTGTAAGGAAACCACCCACTTCCATTCTCAGTCCATGCAGTTGAAGGGTGTTGCATTCACAACAGAAACTGAATACTCTAGACGCAGAGACTGGTTCAGTGGGCAGTCATGACTCTCCTTCCATTGCTCTGGCTTTAGGGATAGGTTTGGGGGCATATGACCCAGTTTATCCAATCAGAGTGAAGCTTAGGATTTGTACAGGTTGCTGAAAGTAACACTTTCCCTTTCACTGGACTTGAGCGTGGGAGAAAGCAGGTCTGTGGCTATTGGCAGCCATCTTATCACCATGTGGGCTCAGACTGAAGCCAACGCAGAGGAGCATGGAGCTGGGTTACAGTGTCTTCATTTTAGCCCCTGGAACAAGTTGTGCCTTACACCAGATAGCGTAAGTCCACCACTGGACTTTTAAGTTATATAACCCAGTAAATTCACTTATTTTTTAATCACCTTGGGTTGGATTTCTGTCACTTGTGATCAAGAAGTCCTGGCTGATTCTCTGTCCCTTGGAGATGAGAAGCCTTTCAGGAGGCCTGCAGAAGCGCACGCAGGCGTGCTGGATTTCCTCAAGAAACGGAGCTATCAACAAAATAATAGAAGGCCAGGAGAAGGGAGTGAGTACAAAGATGAAAACTGGAGTTTAATGTTCTGTCACTAGACAGCTTTGTGACCTTGGGGAAGTTTGGCAGCCTCTCCGGGCCTTAGTCACCTCAGCTGAGAGACAAAATGTTTGTAATGCTGTTTACTAATTATAATACACAAT